TTATATTACGTGCAGTAACTTCATACTGGCATATAATAATGAAATAGTTATTGATTATATATATAATACCAGCAAGTTCATACCCATAAGGTTATCAGCTTTTTCTCTATTGGCTGGAGCTATTATATATATATATATATATATATATATATATATATATATATATATTCCAATAAGTGAAATATACATAGCAATGGCGTATTAGATTAAAAGTGTGTGGCATTGACCATTAGAATTCTAAAGCGACATGAATGATGCTATTGTTGATGGGGAATGGGAGTGGTGATTTGCCAACTCCTCCTGTTGTAAGCATAGTGGTGGATGTTGGAATTGCAATATGAATAGCAATCACCTCTCTTTGTGGGTCATATTCAACGTTTTTCTTAAAAATTGATCATTCAATTTAAAATATAATAAGATCATAGAAGACTATCTCTTATTTCAAAACAAAAGCAAATTGTTAAACATCAACAACGAAAATTATATGCATATCGTCTCTATCAATAAAGATTTCTTAAATTCAAAGTCAAATGTATTGCTGTTACTGCAAAGAGTTTACTTTCCAAGGTGTGTATTAGTGTTATTTTCATGAACTTCATCCCATTGGTACACATTGCACTCGTCATGCTCAATCCCATTGGCTATTTTTCAGAGTAAACTAATCATTTAGAGCAAATTAGTGTTTTAGGATAATTTTCCAAAAGCTATTGTCTCTGAATTATTTCTTCAAAATACAAAATAGTTATTTATTAACTTTTGCTATAACTTTATTTTTTTTTTATGGAAATGAATATGATGACTTATTAAATTTTAAAAGCTAATTTGATTAGAAAAAAGTAATATAACAACAAACTAACAAAATGGTTATAATATGATTTAAAAATATACTTTATTTTCTGAGTAGATACATCAAGTATTCTAGGAATATTGTTTCATCTTTATAGTAACTAACCTCCTCTTTCTGAATACTATAACATTCAGAAAGTTATATCCATAAATCAAACATTAATTCTTGACTTTGTGCTAATATTATATCCATAGATCAAACCAATCTTGAATTTGTTTTGTGACAAATTGAAAGGTGACACTACAACACATATAAAAAGTAAATTGTATCTTTTGTTAACTTTTTTTTTAATCAATATTACAAGTATTTTTTAATGAAAAAAATCATATTTGAGTAGAGTAAAACTACAGTGGATTCTAAAGTTTTCCCTTTTGAGTTTTTATCTGCTTTTTATGAAATAAATGTATAGAAATATAAATTTTACTGTAAATTAACTCATAAAAATTACTGTGTGAGCAATAAAAGTCACAAACTCATAAATTACATATGTAATCTTTATTACTTAATTTGTGATTCAAAGAATAATATATTTTTTAAGAAAATATGAAATGAAACTCGTCATAAACTAAACGCGTTCTCTATTTCTTCAAAATAAAGTAGTTGACGAAAAAGGGTAGGCCAAACATTGCAGCCCATAAACGGGAATATATTCTAACTTTTGCAGAGGGTCAATTTTTAAAAATCTAATTATAGATTATTTTTGTGCAATGGACCACTCGAAATATCGCTCTTCAATTTATTTCTAATGTTAATTAAGTTTGATTTGTGTTTGAATAATTATAGATATTTATTTTAATGTTATTAATTATAATTTTTATATTAAATTATTCATACATTCTTTTATGTGTTTCTAAAAATACAATTGATTTCATTTAAGTGAATACGTGATACACATTGATAACTAGTTATTGTACATCTTTTTCACGTCTCTGTTGGTAAATGTTGAATTTTCTTTTATGAATCATAATAAGCACGTGATTATTAATAGATACTAATTAACATAAATGGCACGTGGGTTCAAAAGTATGTTCTCAAAAAGGAAATCCACGTGAGGTTTCCTTGTGATGAGTATATAGTAAAGCTAAGCATATAAACTATGTCCATAGGATTATGATTTCCCTAACTTTAAAGGTGGGTGGTTTTGATGGACAACAACAATGAGACATGGAAGCTATGCCAAAGTAGACATGAATGCATGCAAAAAGTTAAAATAAGAGAGCCAATGTTACTTAGTCGTAGGCATAACCAAAAATAAGAAAATTTTAAAAAATTAGATAAGCATAAGTTAATTTTAATTTATAACAAAAATTTGATTTTTTTTACTAATTTTTATACTTTTATAAATATTCATTGAAAAACTTATCCAAAGTAAGCTATTATCTATGATTTGAAGATTTACAAATTATGGTCTGGATCCAACTTGGATATTATAGTTAGAATCACTTTGAGAAGTTTTGATTATAATGCTTGACTTCTTGATACGGCTACTTACTATTCGTTTCTAAAATTTCAACTTTAATACTCTATGAAGTTTTTGAATATCTGAATTGATTCCAAGTGTAAATCATTGAAATCATTCAAATGTTGATTCAATTATTGATATTTGATACCTCACTGGATATTGTCTTTGGTTTGTCGTGTGAATCCTGTGTATGCCCACTTGACATTTTCATTTAATTTTCCTTGGATTACAACCTATCGAGATCTATTTTTATTTATGTGTAGTATCTTTGAAAGTTACTGAGGTTTACTCTAGTTCCTCAGGGTTAGAATCTGATAGTAATTTTGATGTCTAATTCTTAAAGTCTTCGGAATTAGTTTGGAACTCTATCTCTATATTTGATTGAAATCCTATGTCTTATTCATGAAAAGTATAAAATCTATTAAAACACTTAAGTTTAAGAGTTGTATTTAGATGAAATATATTAAGCGAATATTTTTTTTTAAAATTACAATTTTATGAATTACATTTTTTTGTTTTGATATTTAATTTTAAAAATTTAAAAATTGTAGTAAAGATTTTAATAGATTAAAATCAAATAATTCTAAATCCTAACAAAAGAGTTATAACTAAAAGTTATTTTTGTATTATGTATTTCATTCATTTTTTATTTATTTATGATTACTTCAATTATTTAAATTTTATTTTTCTAATTAATTTTTTTAAATAGTAATTTTTTTAAGAATGTAAGTAATTTAATTATTTATCTAAACAGAAATATTTGAAATAAAAAAAATAATTATTCTATCTAATTAAAATATTTTAAATAATAAGAATTTAAATAATATTAATTAAATTTTTTTAAAATTTTAAATTCTCTAAAATTTTAAGTAGCACGAAGAAACACAATCTAATAATATTTTGAAACGTCTTTTACATGAAAAATTTTGGAAAATGATCCATCAGAGTAATCTCATGTCTGAAACATTATTATTTTAAGATAAATATTGATTAGTGACTAGAACACTACATATTAATAAAATAAATTTTAATTTATTATTATTTTATTTCTATTTTTTTATGATGCATTTTTATTATGTTTTTGAGTGTGCTCCTCACTTAAGTTTTAACAAAAGTATTTATTTATTTTAATTAGTGTAGACAATTAAAATTGGGAGGGGGGGGTTGTTTGAGGTTGGCCCAATTAACAATATATAGTAAAAAATTAAAAGTATATAAAATTAAAATTAAAATTTAATTTAAATAATTAAATTTATTAATATTAAAATCTAATTTTAGTATTTATCAAATTAATTTTATTAGCATATATAAACAATTATTTCTATTGTAATTTAAGAAAACATTGACTCGACATGTCAACTTGCCCTATAGTAAAGTGAAATGAGTTAAATAAGTTTAAAATTTTCAACCTACCTCACAAAAAATGGCAGATTAAGTAGGGTCAACTCGTTGGGTTGAACTCGTTTTACAAATGTGATCATGTTCAAAATAGTAAAATAATTATAAGTTATAAACTCTCTTTTTAAAAGATTGAAAAAAAATAACAATAATTTATTTTTTTGTTAGCTTTGACAAATTTAAAAATATTATTAAATTAAATGTTTATTGAATAAATTAATTTTATATAAAAATTATATCATAAATTTAATGATAAAATATGTTAAAATAACTTTATAAATATATTTTAATAAGTTATATTATTTTAAAAATAAATTAAAAATAATTTATATTTTATAAATTCTTACAAATGTCATCTTATGATTTTCATATTGATTTATCAGCTCCTTACATTTAAGCATTTTAGTAAATCTTACTATAATTGTCATGCCTCTATAATATATTTTAATTAATTTATTTAATAATAATTATATTTTTTATTATGAATATAAGAATATAAATTTAATACGTTATTTCAGTTTTCAAAAAATTATTTTTCAATAATCTTAATTTTTATAAACTTCTTTCTTTCTTTTCAACCAAAGCAATATCACAGTATAATTGAGTTTGTAATATCAATGGAAGCCTTATAGTTTTCATTGAGCATTACCTAGTGAAAGTGAAACAAGAGCTGCTTTTGGGAAAACACACTCCTCTCCATTAATTTTGCAGTATCAGAAACAATTATGAGTCAAAAAACTACATACGTTTTTCTAGATTCTATAATTTTCAGCAATTGGATAGATCTAAAATCTGTTTTATAATTTTTTAACCTGTATAATATTATTTATGATTTTATTAAAATATAAAATATAATATAATTTATTATAAATTATTATAAGAGTGAATATTTATATTCATAACTCTTTTTTATTTTTTATAGCATAATTTTATAACTATTTTATTTAATTCTCATTAAAAAAATATAATTTTTTATTATACATTTAAGTTTATAAATAAATATTTTATTTATATTAAAAATATGTGTAAAATTAAATTAAATTTTCTCGTTCTTACTATTTTATTCTCTCTATCTTTTATTATAATTTTACATTGATTATTGATAAAATTAAAATGTTATATATTTCAATAAAAACAATTATTAATTAATTTTTTAATCATTTACAACTTATCTTTAGTTAAAAAATAGTTTTTTTATTATCTATCTTTGCCGCACGTAAATGTTTTATAATTAAATATAAGCTTGTCCAAATATTTTACTAAAAAGAATTGTTTACTGAAATTTGAAAATTATGTACAAACAAGCTTTAGCATCTTCACCGCCGCCACCATCTTCTTTATTTCCTCGGACGGCGTCACTGTCAGTTCCCGGCAATGGACACACAACAAGACGATACTCCCAAACCGAACCAAACCCAACAACCTCTCTCTCTCCACACGCTCTCTTCCATGAGGTCCCTCCTCATCAACCCTTCAACCCCGAAGTGCACCGTTTCCTCAATCCTCGAAACCCTAACTCATTCCCCCCTCAATCACCACACTCTCAAGCTCCTATCCGAAATCGCCACAGACCACTCTTCTCTCTCCGAACTCGCCCTCCACTCACTCCTCACCGCCACCGAGTCCCCGACCAGCCTCGCCGTCGAGGCCCTTGCTTCTCTTTCGGAAGCATCGAGGCTCGAACTCGACGACGCGCTCTTCGTGTCGCTGTGTTTTGGAGCCTCCGTGCCCGCTAGGGTTTGGATGCTGAGGAATGCGGGTTCGCGGTTCCGGATCCGACCCTCTTTGTTGCTGGCGGTGTTGTTGGGGCTGACGAAGGACCCTTACCCTTACGTGAGAGCGGCTTCATTGGAAGGTCTCGTTGACTTGAGCCAGCGTGGAGAGTTCCACGACCTTAACTTGGTGGAAGCGTGTTATCGACGCGCTCTTCAGCTTCTTCGTGATATGCACGATTGCGTCCGGTTCTCTGCGGTTCGCGTTGTAAGTTACTTCTGTTCAAATTTCAACTGTCACAATCACAGTCTTCTTCTCGCTCTCTTCGGAATAAGTTTGAAATTTGGTACTTCATATTACAAGATTCTGATTTTATTTTACAAAATGTTTGCATTATTTATTAGTAGTTTAATGCTATTAACACGTTATTTAAACATATTTTTTAAGACGCTTTTTAGACTCAATTTATTTTTAAAATAATAGAATAAACAGATATTTTCAACTTATTTTAGTTATTCTGTCATTTGTTTTTCGTATCACCGTTTTCCAAACCATGTGGCATTATATCACAATTAAGTCTTATCTAGTAAGGTACACAAATCACATATTGAACTCGTCAAGAAACAAAATTTTCAGAAACCTTGTCAACCAAAATATCGTTTTTAATAATTTTTTAAAAGATTTTTAATAATTTTTTTAAGGTTATTGATCCTTCTAATATCTTCTTTGTATATGACCAAATCACTTTTAATAAATTTTAATCAATTTTTTTTTTTATTACAAGTGATACTCTAATATCTTCTTAAATATTATCATTTTATATTTTGTCATTTTCATTATTCACTCATCCACTTTACCGTCATAATAATAATAATAATAATAACAATAATAATCTATTTAATAGTAATAGTTTAATTAAAATTAAAGAATTTAATTAATTCAATTCATGGACTAAATACTATAATTGTTAGGTTAGAAAATTTAATTTATTATTGCTTGATATTATGTTGCGGATAGATTAGAAATGAGACGTCTCGCTGTTGGTGTCACCCGAAATAGTGCGCTTTATTGAGTTCATTCAATGCCGAATGATTTGAGCTAGTTGATGGTGGCGATTCTCTGAATGATTTGAGCTGTTATATTTCAGGTAGCTTCATGGGGTCTAATGTTAGCAGCTTCTAACTCAGACACCAAGGCCTATTGGTCCAATGAGGTATTTGCCAAGGTATACTCTTATTATATACTGTGGGTTGCACAGTGTTTGATGGATTCTCTATCTTGAATTTTTGGGTGTAAATATCTATTTTGAGTTTTCTAGCATTTCTGAATGTTGTTGGCTGGCCCCCGAGTATCATATAACATGTTCACTGCACGTGCATGTAGCTATGCTCTATGGCAAGAGATATGAGCATGAAGGTCAGGGTTGAAGTCTTTAATGGCCTAGGAAAAATGGAAATGGTATCTGAGGATTTTCTTTTGCAAAGCTTATCAAAGAGAGTTTTAGCGGTTGGAAAGCGAAAGGAAACTCAGGGTCAGGGCACATCTGAACAGTTTGACATGTTGGCAACTAATGTTGCTGGTGCACTAGTTCATGGACTTGAGGATGAGTTCTTTGAGGTAACTTATTTGAATATCCCGGAGTCATATATAGCTCCTTGTTTGCTGTGGTTCATATAAAAATTGACAGCAACTATCTTGTATAGTTAAAGGGCTTATTCCTTGTGTGATTATACATATGACAATAATGACTGCAACCTGAAGGTCCGGAAGTCTGCATGCCAGTCCATATGCACACTGACAAGCCTATCTGTTGAGTTTGCTCGTGAAGCCTTAGACTTGTTGGTGGATGCGTTGAATGATGACTCAGTGGTGGTTCGGTTACAAGCTTTAGAAACCATGCATCATATGGCAATTAATGGCTGTTTAAAGCTTCATGAAAAGCACTTGTGCATGGTATGCTTATATCCTTCATTAAACGTTTTGCTCTTTCAGCATACATTCTACTGCCTACAATTTTTTCCTTCATTTGAAACTGCAAGATGCATCTCATGTTGGACAAATTATGGAACCTCCTTTCTGCTGCTGTAAAGAGATTTAATGATTAAAATCTGTATGTTTTTTACTTTCTCATACTCAGAAGTTGTACTTAATTTTTCTTTCTCTTCCACCAAATCCCTTGTCTTTTTATTTGGAGGTTTTATGGTGAAAGAGTTATGCTGGTGTAGTTATTTTCCTGGTAGATGAACTAGGTCACGAGGGTTGAAAAATTGCTCATGGAAAATGAAGATTGACTAGTGGGGTGCATGGAAAAGTTGTTCTTGATTGAAGCCAAAAAGGCATGGTTTCTGAGATTGGTTGGGTTACCAATTTGAGGTATACTAAACAAAGCGAATAAGTGTTTTTACATCTGCTTGAATATCAAATTAAACATAGAAAGAATAGATTTTCTTACTGCTAAGCAATCAAATACCAGGCACTCTGATAGGATTCAAGAACAAGAGTTGGAAGAAAGAATGAATTGTTCTTATTGATTATGAACAGAGAAATAGAAATAGAACTACAAGAGTTCCCCAGAGCTATAGCTCCGAAAGAGAAATAATTCCCTCCAACTAACCAAGAATATTCATAACCCCCTTACAATGTAAACTAACTTGCTATTTATACATTCCTCTAATCTACTAACTGGGCCACTCATATTACTACTTATTATTATTCCTCTTCCTAGTATATACTTTCCATACTTTGGGCTTCCTCGACTCATCAATAACCTGGTCCTGAATTCCCTCACTGGGCCTAACAATACCACCACCTGAAGTGGCAGCCTTGTCCTCAAGGCAGAAAGAGGGAAACTGATGGCGAAGGACAAACACATCCTCCCAAGTTGCCTCAGAAGCAGAACAGCCCTTCCACTGTATCAAAAATTGTTTCATGTGCTTTCCCTCAGCAGAAACCCAACGACTAGCCAGCACCAGAGCAGGATCTGCAATTTCCTCAGTTTTCAAATTAGCAGGTAACTCCGTAGAGGATTGATATTGCCCAAAAGCACGCTTAAGTTGCGAAACATGGAATACTGGATGAATCTTGAAAGAAACAGGGAGCTACAAACGATAAGCAATAGAGCCAACACGACCCAAAATCTGATAAGGATCATAAAACAGTGGAGCCAATTTCTGATGGATACGGGAAGCAACAGAGTGTTGACAATGAGGACGCAATTGCAAGAAAACCCAATCACCCTCCAGAAACTCCACATGATGGCGACGTTTATTAGTAAATTTCTTCATAGCCTCCTAAGCACGTAACAACTGTTGCTTGAGCTGCTTCAAAGCCTCATCGCGGTCTTGCAACTCACGAGCAACAGCCTCAACACAAATTTCTCCAACCACCAGTTTCGGAATAGAAGGAGGGCTACGACCATAGACAGCCTCAAATAGAAATGTTCCAATGGACACATGATATGTGGTATTATACCACAATTCTGCCCAAGAAACCCACATGGACCAGTTACGCGGATGATCAGCAGCAAAACACCGTAAATACTACTCAAGACAACGGTTTACCACCTCTATTTGCCCATCAGACTGAGGGTGATAAGCAGTACTAAGGCGTACTTTAGTGCCTTGAAGCAAAAATATTTCTTGCCAAAAGTGACTCATGAAGACCGGATCACGATTACTCAAAATGGAGGATGGAATCCCATGCAAACGAATAATTTTGCGGGCAAAAATCTCAGCAATTTGTTTTGCCAAATAAGGGTGCTTAAGAGGGATAAAATGCGCATATTTAGAGAGCCTATCAACCATGACAAATAAAGCATCAAACCCTTTGGACTTGGGAAGCCCTACAATAAAATTCATAGAAATTTTGTCCCATATTTGAGAATGAATGGGCAACGGCTGCAACAAACCCATGGGAGAAAGAGCCTCGGACTTACTGCGCTGGCAAATATCACAGCTCTGGATAAAAAAGTTTGACTTTTTTCTTCATGCTCACCCAATAAACATTTCCAACCAAACGTCGGTAGGTACAAATCAACCCAGAATGCCCCCTCGTAGCATAGGCATGGAACTCATGTAACAAGTCAGGGATAAGAAAAGAATTAGCAAACAATACCAATCTGTTGTGGTAATATAAAACCTCACCCTTGAACGTATACCTAGATCGAGAATTCGGATTCTTTCGTAAATCCGAAATTACTTGACTTAAAAAAGAATCTGCCAACACTTCCTTCTGAATAAAAGAAAGCTGATCCAAATGTGGAAAGGAAAGTAATGAGTGAAGTTGCTCCTCTTCACTTCCTTGACGAGATAACGTGTCTGCAGCCTTGTTTGAGGACCCCGGCCTGTATAAAACATCGAACTGATACCGCAACAGCTTTGAAATCCAACTTTGCTGATCTGCAGAAGCTACCCATTGTTGTAGCAGATGTTTCAAACTGCATTGATCATTAAAAACAGTGAATTTTTGTCCCAAGAGATAATGTCTCCTATGTTGAATTGTGAGAACTATCGCCATCAATTCTTTCTCGTACACTGATTTGGCTAACTGACCAGCAGATAAAGCTCTATAAAATAGGCAATAGGCTTACCGTGCTGCATAAGTATCACACCAATTTCAGTTCCAGATGCATTGCACTCAATAGCAAACTGTTCATTGAAGTTGAGCAATGTGAGTACTGGAGCAGTAACCAATGCTTGCTTTAATGCAGCAAAAGCTTGGGCAGCTGAAGGATTCCACTTGAAACTATCCTCCTTGGTGAGTTCCGTTAATGGTTTGGCCAATTTCCCATATCCTTAGATAAAACGACGATAATACCCAGTTAACCCAAAGAAACCACTTACACCCTTCACACCCTTAGGCTGGGGCCAGTCCAACACACTACGCACCTTACTTTGATTGACCTGAACACCATCTGCGGAAATAACGTGGCTAAGATGCTCAATCTGCTTTTGACCAAAACAACATTTCCCTTTGTTAGCATAAAACTGATTGGCTGCTAAAATTTGCAATACACAACTCAAGTGCTTCATGTGTAAGGACCAATCGCTCCTATAGACAAGTATATCATAAAAAAAAAAAAACCACTATAAACTTGCGTAAAAACGGCCTAAATAGAGGATTTATAGTGGACTAAAATGTGGAAGGAGCATTCATAAGACCAAATGACATAACTAGGTACTCATAATGTCCCTCATGAGTCCTAAACGCCATTTTACAAATATCGTCTGTGTGCATCCGAATTTGATGTTATCCAGATTTTAAGTCCAATTTAGAAAAGAAATTGGAACCAAACAATTCATCCAATAATTCCTCTACTACTAGAATAGGGAATTTATCTGAAATAGTTATGGAGTTAGGCCCGGTAGTCCACACACATACGCCATGAGTTGTCCTTCTTTTTCACAAGAATCACAGGACTGGAAAAAGAACTGGTACTATGGCGAATAATTCCTTGAGACAATAAATTTTGCACCTGTTTTCCAATCTCGTTTTTATGATGATGAGGGTATTTGTAGGGACGAACATTTACTGCTTCTGACCCTTCTTTAAGGTTGATTGCATGTATTGTGGAACGAGCGGGAGGAAGACCCTTAAGCTCCTCAAAAACCTCCTTGTACTGATCAAGAAGTACACCCAACTCTATTTGCTGCGAAGGAGATATATCAGCCTTAAAATTCAACCCCCACTGATCTGTCTTGTTCCACGAAATTCCCTCAATTGACAAGCCATCCGTGTCAATTAAATTGTTCAAGGGTACAATGTTCTTTGCAGCCAACCCTCTCCTATTGCTTGACTTCTTTAACCTGACACCACGCAACTCAACAACCGTGTCTCCCCAAGAGAAAGACATGCTCATTTCACTCCAATCGACCACGACTTTGCCCAATGTCTTGAGCCAAGAAATACCCAAATGACATCAAGGCCCCCTAAATCTAACACGGACATCCATGAGCATTCGAACTTTAGCCACTTGAATAGGAACATTGGAACATAATCCTTTCATAAACACTACATGTCCATTGCTTGCACCACTTGTAGTTTCGTTTCCTCCAAAATTTCTAGGCCTAATGCTTGTACCACTTGAGGGGCTACAAAATTGGCACTAGATCCACTATCCACCAAAATTACTACTGACACCCCTCCTAACAGCCCGTTCAACTTCATCACTTTGGCAACCTCTTAACTAGAACTAGAAAGGCCCAAAAATCCCATCACCTTGCATTCCAGCTCCTTGGTATCTTCTTCAGAATCATCAACTTCCAAAGGCTCCAAAAAAAACTCCTCTTGGACCTCTTCATCCTCAGCCATAATAGTCAAACGTAGGGACTTGTCTCTAAACTGATGGTGCGGACCAAACTTTTCCCCACACTTAAAATAGAGGCCTAATCTGCTATGTTCAAGCATTGTATCATGCGAAAGATGTCGAACCCCTCTACTATGATTTTCTCCAAAACGATTATCTACACCAGTGCGAGCAACCCCATATTGCGTCGTTGATGCCGCACTTGAAGACGCCCCGAACGAAGGCTCTTTGGGTCCCTAGGTAACGGAAGCCACCACCGAACAAGAACTCCCGTGAAAAAATGCGGAAAAAGAGTCTCATCGAAATCCTGAGCCACCGAAACTGTTCCCTGTGGAAGATTTACCCCGCGACGTCATAGCATCCCTGGACTTTACTTGCTTCATACCCCCTAGCCAACTTCATGGCCTGCTTCCTTGTTGGATCCAAAGTACGAACCCTGAGTCGAATGTCCTCTTTCAAGCCCCCCACAAAATAACCTAGAAACTGAATTTGGGGTAATTTGGGAACTTGCGACGCCAATAACTTGAATTGTTGAATGAATTCTTCTACCGTGCCCTCTTGTTTCGGCTCTTCGAAAGGATTACTAAGACGATCCCCTCCAAATCTCACAATCAGGGCTTGCTTAAGATTTTCCCAATTGGGAATATCTTCTTCCCTCCACAAATTGAACCAATGGATTGTAATTCCCTGCATTCAAATCTTGGCCAATTTGATTTTTGTAGCCTCGGAAGTCCCTTGTACTTCAAAATACGTCTCCACTTGACAGATCCAACCCCCAAGATCCACACTGTCGAACTGCGGTAACTCCACTTTCTTGACGGAAGAACAAAACCCATTGTCGCCATCAATATCATTGTCCATATGCAATGATCCCTCATCCTCGTGAAACTCATCAACGTTATGTCTCATCAATTTCTTAACCGCACGCAACAAGGCTTGCGTCATGACGTGTAAGGAGTTTTGCGAAGCTTGTACCCCATCCATTGACTCTTGCATCCCCTTCATCGTTTTTGCAAACAATTCTTGTCTCTCACTATGCTTTTGACTATTGGCCCGTAAATCATCGATAGATTTTTCCAATCATCTAATATCTCATTTGTTCTCATACTCATGGTGCAATTTTTTTGTATCCGGCAGGTTGGACCAATTGATAGGATTCAAGAACATGAATTGGAAGAAAGAATGAATTGTTCTTATTGATTATGAACAGAGAAACAGAAATAGAACTACAAGAGTTCCCTAGAGCTATAGCTCCGAAAGAGAAATAATTCCCTCCAACTAATCAAGAATATTCATAACCCCCTTACAATGTATACTAACTTGCTATTTATACATTCCTCTAATCTACTAACTGGGCCACTCATATTACTAATTATTATTCCTCTTTCTAGTATATACTTTCCATACTTTGGGCTTCCTCGGCTCATCAATAACCTGGTCCTGAATTCCCTCATTGGGCCTAACACACTCTTGTATATTTTATCTCTTTTAGAAACAATAAATCTTTAACTAAAAATGACTTGGATGGTCCTTGATTTTCAGCAGATAAAATCTTTAATTAGCAAGTCCTAGTGAACATCATAAATAGGTTGTGGGGATTTTCTTGAGACTGGCTATATGGATATTGAGTGTGCTTTTATGAGTGGAATTCTTATCTATTTTGCAATTAATTATTAATATTAATCTTATGCTTCATTTTATTTGCAGTTTCTTCTTACTCTTGCAAACAACAATTGGGATGTAAGATATACTGAAAGGAAATTACTTAAAGTAGTGAAGCTAAAAGATCTGGAATTGTTCAAATCATCTATTGACAGACTTCTGGAAAATATAGAAAGTTATCCACAGGTTTGCTTTGTGCTATGTTCCACTTGTCTCTCTCATTTTCTCAAATGGCTATGTGCGATCTATTTTGGTTTTTCAAAAGGTGCAAAAAGGTTTTATTTGCAAAAATATGTAACCTCATTAGATAAAGTTGTTATTGCATTATTTATGAAAATTCCATTTGACTCGTGTGGTCATTTCCATTTTGATGGTTTAACTATAATGTTCTTTGAGCTCATCCATATTATTGTTCTTGATATTCTCCTCTGAAAATCCGTTTTTCTCATATATAATTATTATGTTACTCATTACCTAGAAAACTCACCTCACGAACTTGATGCTCATCTCATCCTGCCATTGTACCGTTCACTGACATTTGGCTGCCTGAATCCTTGAATTAAATTGAAAAGCAGTATAGAGGGGAAAAACTTGACCTTGATGACTACTGGTGTGTTTGATCAGAAGCTAGTAGAGACAAGCTTTTGCCCAAAATGTGGTTTGAGACTTACCAAACTCAACCTAACACACATATACATGTATTTTTATTTCATAATAAATGCAATAAAAAACTATATCCTTGACTACAAATAATTATCTTTTAATCTTTTTTTTTTTCCATTTTAGCTTATCAATTTTTTGTTGTTAAATAAATAAATGATAATTTGCATTATCATCATCGTCACATCTCTTCTTTCATAGTTGTGCTTTGGGCAGTATTACATGCTCTCAATTTTAGCTACTTGTCCTTTAGGTAGAATATCCTTATTTACAAGTATTTTTCACCCTTTTACGGGACATTCTTATCCTTACTGCATTCATGCCTCTCAATAATTCACCATGGTTTAAACTTTCGTTGTGGCTTCAAAAGTATTACCAGTAGCCATAGATGTGCATAGCAGAATTAGATAAGATGAATGGGCTTATGGAATTGATTTAAGTCAAATCTAGGTTCACAACAGCAAAGATGAATTATTCACTAAAGTTATCATCCAGCATTCAAAACTAGCTGTGAACAAAAGAATGTTTCATGGTCCTTCAAAGCACTTGCTTTCTCTAACTTATTGAAAGAGCAATAGTGAAACTGGGAATGATCCCATTGCATAATTGAGATGTGATCATTGGCTTTTTCAAAACAAAGGAAGTGACAGGAAAATTATGGAGCATATCCCTTCCTCATTCCATCCAAAATATTGCCTATGCTTTATCGATTACATGCTTCTTAATCGTGTTATCTTTTGAAAAACAGAGCCAAGATACTCAACAAAACCATTTTTTGGCACTTTTTTAACTGTTATTTCATCCATATGTTTAACTTTTAACTAGCATGTTTCCAGGATGAAGATGATGTACTTTCTACTTTTTCTCATCTGGGCCGAAATCACAAGAAATTTGTAGGCTTGATTATCAAGGAAACTTTTGAAGAGGTGCGCTCATTAGGATTATTGCATAACCATATGCAATATCTTCTTGAACATTTGGCATATTTTGCATGTCACTGAGACAAATATATGTATATTTCTTTGAAGGAGTAGCACTGATTACATTTTGATTTTGCTTTTCACAGGTAGAAGCAGCTTTTGAAGGAAACGTGGAATTTAATAGTGCAAGGATAGCTGCACTTTTAATCCTTTCTATATCTGCTCCACTCTTGAATGCTGATGTAGGCAGTATACCACCAGTAATGTTTTCTTATGCAGTTACATTCCTTGGTAGAATCTATAATGCTTTTAGTGATATCATGGATAGGGATGCCCTTTTGGCCTACCTGTGTGAGAAAAGTAGATCTGTGGGGTATTCTGCCACAAATATTAACCTCAAAGAAGGGGAGCAACAGTTGCCTTTATTGAAAGGTGATGCTCCAAATTTTGCTAGCAATGAGGTGATCGAGTCCGAAATTGACTCCCATATAACAAGGGAACCAAAAGATGTGGCCAATTATAAGGTAGAACAACAGCAGTCAGTGTTTAATGAAATTATAAACTTCTCAAATTGCGTCCTTGCAAAGCCCCCTTATATGTGGTCAAGGATACAGTCAGGTTATACAAATGAAGTGCTGAAGTCCTTGAGGTAATAAACTGTAGTATAACTTCAGTAACATTGATGCCTTGGCATTTGGTGCAATTTGCATCTTCCAGTATTTGTATAATGTGTATGTTGTTTGCAAATAATCCCAGATCCGTATACAGACTCTGCTTAAAATAACTTGATTTTGGCATATTGATGTGCATTTGTGTAATGAATTTACATTACATGCATAGTATGGGGATTCTGGCTTGTTGATGTTGTCTATCTTTGGTTTTAGGAGTTGAAATTTAAGATGTCCTGTAAGCATATAATATACTTAAATACATTTTCTTATATTTTGATTGCTTTAATTTAGTATGTATTCATCTAATAGTAGCTTTTTGTTTCTAAACATTTCTTCCCTTGGGTGCTGATGTCAATGATGCAGGTGTTTGAAGGTGTTGGCCACTCTGAAATTTGATTCTTTGGGATCTGGCGATGCTTCCGCGTTTACTTTACTGTATCTCCGGATAATAGAGCTACTTGTGGAAGTATGGGATCCCTTGCCGCCAACTAAAAGGTGTTCTCATGGAATCGGAGAATTGAAATTGAAAATGGGAAAGCTTGATAGGAGGGTTAAAGAATTGATAAGTAGGTTTAAAGGTTTTTCTGCAGAAGAGGAATTGAATGTCCTGGAGCTAATCTTGGTGGCTTATGCCCTCAGGTTATTTAAAGATGAAATCTACTGTGTAACTCTTACATTCAAGAGGTTGACTGCTATCTATTTACGTTATGAATCTATCCTTAAAGAAAGATCAGCGTTGCCACCCAAATTCATAGTTGAACTTGGGAAATTATTACATGAAAGTAGCACCTCCATCAATGGAGCTTCCATCAGTCCACTTCAGTTTGATTCATGTCTCAAGTTCTTCTCTCTCAAGCAGTTTATGTTTCGTGGAACAATCAAACATATAAAGGCAGAACTAAATATTCCCAGTAACAACTCTGAGCATTCTCTTCCCTTTGTTTCAGGACTACCTGTTGGCATACCATGTGAGATCACTCTACATAATATTTTGAGTGAGAGTAGGTTGTGGCTCAGGGTGACTATGGATGACGGTTTCATACAATATGTCTTTCTAGATTTGGATCGTTTTGAAGGCTCTGGAGAGGTAAGAAATTTTACTATTATAGTGCCGTTTTACAGAACATCAAAAGTTAATTCTCTTACATTAAAGGTTTGTATTGGTTTAGAATGTTTCTTTGAAAATTTTAGTCCAGTCCAAAGGTTTGGGGGACCAAAACATGAACTAGTACTTCTTTGTAAAGAAAAACAAGTTTATCTTTCAAAGGGTAATAAAGATTAATTTTCTTTTCTAGTTTAGTTGTGCAAGTGAAAACTACTGCTCTTTAAATACCTATGCATTTCCAAGTGATTTACATTTACCAGTTTAAGAACTTGTGAATAAGTTCATGTAAAAAAAATAATATAAAAAATGAATAAAACTCTTTTATAAGTTAAAATTAACTTATACTTACCTATTTTTAACAAGTTAATCTTATTTAATTACTCTAAAACTTAAAAAGATTTAAAAAGTTAAGTTATTTTTAATTTATTAAAAAATTATTTATTTTTTATATTATTTTTTTTACAGACTTATTCATAAGCTTATAAAAAATGGGCCACTATAAATAATGCCACGAGTTAATTTGCAAAAATCCCAGATTGGAACTTCGGATATCTTGGACGAAATTCTATATTTGAACACAAGTAATACGTCGATATTTCCTTGGGTTTCTTTGATCATAACCATCTTGTGATGGCTATAACTATTTGTGGAGTGTTCGCAGTGTATTTTTTCAATATATATATATATTAACATGCTTTATTATTGATTTAAATTTATTAAAAGTTTATGAGTAATTTCATTAAATTGGAAATGAGACTCTTGTAACTTTTTGATTTATAATAAATTTTAGCTTATTGTGATGAGTATGTTTGAAAAAGTGTTGGAGAATGCATTACTATTGATCTTTTGAACTAATTAAGTCTAAACGGGCTTTCCCTATAAGTAGTACGTTTGATCTTTAAAACGTGAACGATGTGATATTATATTCATATACATAATGATCTTGATCAGTTTTAATGGACAAAGTAGAAATTGAAGTGCTTAAAACTCTATGATTGATTAAGATGAAGTCTGTTAATGTGTTGATTATTATAATTGCTAACTAGCTGGCATCATTCTGTTTTCATAAAACTTGAGCCCGACTTTGAAATTATCTATTATTAGTGTTTAAGAGGTAACAACGATAGTTTAGTGAAACCCGTTTACCTTTTTATGCAATATTCTGTTGGGTCGATATTTTGCAGCATTACTGAGCATTGTCTGTACACTAATATTTGTTAGGGTTAAAATATAAATTTAGTTTGGAAGTAAAAAAATAATAATTATAGTTTAGTTCTTATAAAAATGTTTTTATACATTTTAGTATTTGCTGTTATAATATCATAAACAATACAAGAGACTAAAATGCAGCACAACAGTTCTATAAGGATTAAAATATAATTTCTTTAAATATGAGAATTAATTTTGAATAATTGTCAATGGATTAAATATGTACTTTAATAAATTATAATTTTGAAAACAATACAGACACTAAACTTAGTTGCATTAAGACCGATATTATAATTTAATCTTTCTTCAAAACATGCTTAATTTTTTACTACTAAAGAATTTTATTTTATTAGCTTTTCTTCTACTTTTAGAGAAATAAATAAAGTATTAACATTAATATTATTATTATAATTTTATGATATATAACTTTTTCAATTTATATATGATACTTTCTTGTATGATATCTCATTTTTTATAGAATCTTGAAGAAATGGACTTTTTTCTTTATAAGAAAGAAAATATTTATTATTTTTAAAATAAAAACTGGATTGTTGCTCAAAATTTTAGATGGCCAACTTTATTATATGAATTGATTGTCAAGTTTTTTTTTTTCTATCATGGTATAAGTCATCATTTATTACTCTGTTGACTCAAAATTTTGTTAATTAATACTTATGATATTTTTTTATCAATTAGATCTTTTATCTATGAAAAAACATATTTAAGTATATGTATCTTTTTTTCATTAATAATAATTTTTTAAAAATATGTAAACCTCATATAGTATTTTTTTTTATTATTATTATAATTATGATCTTTTCAATTGAAGATATACTTATTCACCGAATAAATAAGAATTACATCCACGAATGTACATAATCTTAAAATTTTATGATTTTTTTTTCATTTGATACCTCATTTCAATTTTTTTTAAATAAGTTCAATTTTTTTTAATTAAAGTACATATTTGATCTTTACGGTTAACACTTACTTATAAATTAATCTCTATAATTAAAAAAACTTATATTTTAATCTTTATATAAGTATTTTGTTATATTTTAATTTTTATCATTGTAACATTATTAATAGTATTATAACGAAAAGGATTAAAATGTAAAAACAAATTTTTATAAAAATTAAAACATTTTAAAAAAAAAAAAAAAAAAAACTAAACGTATATTTCTGCGGCCTTTGATCGTCTTTCCTTCTTCGTTGTAGCGTGCAGAATTAAGCTGGCAAAATGCAAAGCATTTCAAATGCACATCCAAAAGTTGTGACCTTTATTCTCTATATTCAAAAGTTCCAAACACAAGCTCTAAAAATGTACCTGACTTAGTTTTATTATTAGACCAACTTTATTGCCTAAAACTTAAACTACCTTTTTTTTTTTAAACAAGAAATCTTTGCTCGCTGGATACTCCACTAAAATTGTATAATGTGGCTTTGAAATATGAACAACCGCTTACTTTCGCAAGCAATCTAGAGATGTTCATGATCCATTTCGTCTCAGTCAAAGTTTAATTTCAATATTCAATATGTTTTGATGAAGATTTCAGGTTATATTTTGAATTGTCCCAACTAAGCCCAATGTCTTCTATTCTTGAAAATTACTCTTCTAAGTAATTATACATTAGTAATGACCTACAAGATTTAATAGATAACATTTTACATAGCATGATATCATATTTATGTTATTTATTTTGAAATATATGCCATAAAATATGACTTAATTTTAGTTTTATAATTCATAAATTCAATGATTTAGTTATACATAATGTTTAGATTATCATAACTTTGTCTATAAATTAGCTTGACCTGATCTTTTTTCAATATTTCCAGATTTTAATTGAGTCAAATTTAAGTTCAAAGAAATGATAATAAAAAATATTGGGTCGGGTAAAAACAAAGATAAATCCATCCTAATCTCATTCCATGTACACCCCTAAGTAATCATTTCTAAAAGACAAAATGAAATTCATGTATTAATTATAAAATAACTCATGGTGAACACCGATGAAGTTTCTCTTAGTTGTAGCAGTAAAATAGAAGTTGATAGTTTAAAAATAACGTGAAATATAGAGAGAAAAAGTGTCCTGTGTAAGGTCATTATTTCAGTGACACAGTAACCGGCTGGACTTTCAATGTCTGTATTTTCTTCTTTTCACCATGTACCCAACCAAGGAAGATGAGTATAGTTATTAATAAAATCCTTTGAGGGCTAAGCCTGTGGCCAACAGGCGAGTTTGCATCTAGCTCCATGACATGCATAGCAGCTTTGAAAGGCCACACATCTAAGAATGTTCAATAAGGTAACATTATTAGAATTTTTTAATGAATATTACAAATATTTATATGGTTTATTCAGTAAATATTCAGGCAGAGTTTATATTAGAGTAGTATGCTACCGCCACTGCGCCACATTAACTGCAGAATTTAGGTTCATACAACTCTCATCCTGATTGATTCTGCAAGTAGAATGACTTGGCATTTAACTAGTTAACTTTTAGCATCCGAGTAGTGATTATTGTTATTGTTATCGTCATTATAAATTTCAAACACTAAACTTCACATTTAAGTTGATTAAAAATGAAAGGGTTCCACCTGTAGGAATAACCAGACAATTCATACACAACATGAACAATTTAATTAAATGCTTATCCAATAAGCTATTATTACATAAAGGTTTATGGTATAAAATTTAATCATCAAACTTATTAAAATAAATTAAAAATACATTTTTTGATAATTTATAGAAAAAATTATTGAAATAAAAAAAAAATTCATGAGGGTCAAACAATTCATAATCTCTATAAATTCTTTCACATGGTCCTAAATCTTTTATGCACATAAAAAAATCAGCAAAAACAACCCTGCACAGCTTTATATCAACAGACAAACACATCAACAGAATTGGCATTGGTTCTATGAAACTAACCCTAATGGCACTGAAGTAAAACCAAAATCAACGCCAATAAGAAGCATTCGAAGTCACGTAAATATACATCTTTATCCTATGACTTTACAAAAATTGTGGCTATGAAGAGCATCTACATGACCACTGAACAACCTTCTATCACTCATGATTGCAGGCAATAGCTGACAAGAAACACCTTTTGACAGCTGCCACTGTGGAAGTTTCCTGCCATCCCCGACCTTCCTTATAATTCTCAACCTGTAATATACAATATATATATATATATATATATATATATGTCATAAAGTATAATTATGAGGCTAGTTCTGAATGTGACTCCAAAAGACTAGATGCTTATTGATTGATCTACTTACTGTATCTACAATGTTCTCGCCACCTTTAATTCCACCAACCATATAAATAGATTCATTGACAACCACGGCAGCAGAATACCCCCTAGGATGATTCATTGGTTTCCCCACTGTCCATGCCCCAAGTCGTGGATCAAACATTTCAACACTTGGAACCATTTCCTCTCCATCAAAGCCACCTAGCGCATACCTATGGAGTGAACCAAGAATTTTAAGGGAAGAATGTCTCAGTCAAGCACAGGAAACTTCAGAAAAAGAAAGTTAAGTATAGGGCTAGAATAGTAGAGCTAAAAGTTTTTAAAACCAGACTGATTATTAAACCACTGAAGATACTGGTTTACAGTTCATTGGTTCAACTGTAATGGAACTAAAGTTGAACCAGTAATAATAAAATATATTTTTAATATAATACTTTATATTAAATAATATTCTAATATAAAATTATATAAAAATTTAGTTAAAAATTTAAATTAACAGAAAATGATAGTATTATATGTTTTATAAAATACAAAAATCATAATTAATAGTTAAATAACAGCAATTAATATGTAGATATCACATTAGTCTTTATTTATTTAAAGAACATTTTGGAACATAAAATCCTTTAAAAATCAACAAAAAAAAAATCTTTTTAATCAAAAACCACTTTAACCTGGTTCTTTGCTGCATTTTTTAACTCAATTTGATCAGTTCTAAACCAATTTTTCACTCCACCAATTACCTTGATTGCCTACACTGGTGACCTGACTGACTCTTAATCAAACTGGCCAGTCCCATTCGGTTTTAACTTTTAATGACATGTCCATAAGAGTACTTTATCTATATAATTTTACCCTGTTATTGACCTCAATTTTGCTTGAAAATGATCTGTAGATAAGTCGAGTTCTTTCCAAACAATCACCAAATGATTCATTTTATGTTTAGTGAAATTCCTTAGATGTAACTTTTAAGTAGAAAATGGACTCCTTATGATATTCTATCTGATTTTCCCTCATCATTTTCAAAATCATGCAGTAAAGGTGGTTGCAAGATTGTCCAGGGAGGATAATTCTGAACAACACTATGTTGGCATAGTTAAAAGCTACACATTGCAAAACCTTCACAGCATGGTTGTGCAATTTTAATTATTACTTCAGTAATAAAATGAAAATTAAAGGTAATGAAGAAGAAAACATGCCAAACTCACAACTTTTCATTTAGAACAACTAATGAATGGCAGCCTCGCTTTGTATTCATGTTTGGTATTTTGGTCCAAGAATGTTCCCTGGGATCAAATCTTTCAGCAGACCTGCGGTTATGTGGAAGAAGTGTCATACACATCAGGACAAATATAAATTAATATCAATTACACAAAAAAATAATAATAAGCCTAGATCAACCGTTTATTTGATGAGTTTCAATTCATGATATGAATATATTGAACTGAAATCAAGTAATAAATATTACTTTAAGTAATCATTTCCATCATATCCTCCAGTGGCATAAAGCACGCCATCGTGTTCCACAGAAGCAAGAGCAAATCTCTGGAAATATAAAACGGCATTCAAACAATAAGTTAAATAGTTTGTATTCTTTTCAAAGAAACAATTCAAATGATCACTTAATAATTGTATTTAGTCGTGATGGGTGATGCAAGGTTGTGACTTCACATCCTAGAAGTAACTAATACATTGAAGTATTAAAGGCATAAGGCAGATTTTAATACTTGATGCAAAAATAACGGTTACATCATGATATTATGGATTATGTGCAATTTTGGTCCTCCAAATTTTTTTTAGCAAATTAAGTCCTTGTTTTAAGATCAGACATATTCAGTCCCTCCATTAATATTTTCTGCAGTAAATCGTCAAATTATTATTTTCTATCCAAGTATTTGATGGTTCATAACAAATTTGGGATACAAAATGATTTTTTAAAGTCTATAATCAAGAATGTAGGTAGAAACTTAAATAAGATTTTGATCGATATTATAATATATAAAATTAGAGTTTGAAAAGGGAATTTTATTTTTAATTTGGATGTAATTTAATATTTTAGTTAGTGATTTTGAAGTAGAAGACAATTTCAATTCATAAAGATTTTGAGCAAAAAATATAAATTTGTGGATTTAGGAAAAAGAAAATAGACGTGGGGGGGACCAATTCACCAAATTTACTGAATTTTAAAACTAGGGGAACTTAATTGACTATTGACTCAACTAAATTTGGGGGACCCTAATTGCACAAAGTCCAAACTAGAGTAACAAAAAATGCAATTAAACATATTTTGAATGAATAAAAACATCTAATAAATATAAATTTTTAGTTGACAAATTTAGAAGCTGAAGCCTCAAAGGTCACATAATCCCTCGTGTCACTTTGCAGCTACTTATACGTCTCAAATCTCAATCAAGACCTGAAATTTGACCATTTGATTGTCCAGTTTACCTTGTCTAGCATTGAACGTGTAGGGATCCACCGCCCAATATCTAAATCAAGCATCTCAACATCTGAAAAGCAGTCAACTCCATTGCCACCACCAACAGCAAATATTTTGTTGTTTAAAGCAGCTCCAGACAAGCTTCCTTTCTTCTTGTTCAAAGAGGGGCACGAGGCCCAGCTGTCATGAACTGGATTGTATGATTCAACTACACAGATAAAAAGGTTGAGTTAAATTTCATCTCATTTAAAAAATTTATGATTTCAAAAGCACAGCAAGATTCCATACCTGTGTCGTACCAAACATAGCCATTTCCACCACCAAAAACATAAATTTCACCATTCAACCATACAGCTGAAGCATATGAACGAACTGAACTCATAGGCTTGAGAGATTTGATCATATTCTGAGAAGTACTATACAAATCCATGGTTTCTAACCATGAGTTTCCATCAAAGCCTCCTATTAAAAATAATGAGTCTTTGGGATCTAAATGCAGCTCAACAGTTGATTTCATTTGTGTCTGCTCAACATGTGTTGGATGATTAGTGATATTACATGCAGATTCTAGAAGTGCACAACGATCTCTTAGATGCTGAATTTCCATTTCTGCCTCAATCTGAATAGAAAATAAAAATAAGACAAAATTGATACAAGAGAAAGCTTTATAATATATGAAATGAGAAATAGAAAATGAATGCAATTAAAGATTAGACTAAGACTGCATAAGAGTACTTTGAAAAGATTGTTCTGACTTCAAATACTATTCTACAACTTACATTTAATTAAAACCATTTATACTTTCTGAGGCTTTACTTTCTACTATAACCAATGGAAGCTTTTAGCTATTCTTAATGTCTTTTAATTCTTTCTTATTCTTCCTTTATCCAGCCGTGCATTAATAGTTTCAAGTTTTAACTTATATTATCTTCATTTTACTTACAGAAAACTTTAAATCATGCATGCCATGTACATACTTAAAGATGTTAGGGATGGAGAAAATAGAGAAATATGATAAACTTTAGATAGCATCTACAAAATCGAAAGGAGTACCTACCAGCTTCTGCTCCAGATAGCAATTTTTATCTGTTTGTTTTTTCTTGAAGTTTGTCAGTTCGTTGACCTCTTGCACCAACTATAAATACATTAAAAGTTAGTTGCCTGCAAACAAAACTAATACATCACATTTAATGTTTTTCCATCAAACATCCTCAACCACCTGAGCTATGTTGTATTGATACTCAAATGGAGGGATAGGACTCTCTTCCTTCTTATTTAAACCACCCGATGCCTCCACATAGCCCTTTTCAGTGTTATTCAAACCAGGAGTATCATTTCCTTTGTTTGGCAAAGAGAGATCTTGACTTTCACAGTATAGAGCCTTTAGCTTCTGAACTATGATGTTCTTCTCATCTTGTTTTTCTTCCTTCCCATCTTTACGAGTATCCAATGGCTGGATGTATCTGTCTAAAGAAAAATCATTTTCAGTTGAATCTGATCTGATACTTGAGTGAGTAGAATGCTCTATTTCTGATTCAAGCAGTTTAGATGTTTCACCGTCCCATGGAGTTTCATGTGATGGAAGAGGTTGAGATACAGGTGACCACTGATGCGTATTCTGTGGGACAGAATTACTAGGGGCAATTGCTAAGGAGGATGATAGCAAAGAAATGAGTTTGGCTGTTTGTCCATGGTCTAGTTCAAACCAGAAATGGTTATGATTGTAGTAGTTGTCTGCAATTGCTTGTCTAAATTTATCTTCAGACAGTGGCTGGCACTGAAGTTGGACCCGAATTTGTACCTAAAATATTAATAATAGGTATGAAAATATGGGCCTTTTCATGAATCATGTCCACAATTGTCTTGAATAGAACCATATTAATTATAGTATACAAGTCATACCTGGGCAGGATATTGTGTTCTCTCTAAACCATCAGTAGTCCATCCATAGGGGTCTATATACATTTTCCCACTGCTAGCCGCCTCAAAAATTCCGTGAAGCTTTCTGTCACTATAGTTAAACAGAAACAGAGGCAATCCGGGATCAATATTCTTCACATAAGAGAAGTGCTGAGCTGGTAAGCCTGTTAATAACATATTGAAGTTCCATGAGCTGAAGTATTACAATTCTGATTATTTGAGGGCGTCTAATACAAATTTTAAGCACATAAATGTTTCTGTCATATAGAATAGAGACTAGGTGTGTGCACAACATAACGTACATGCTATTTAAAATAAAATAAAAAAATCAAATGAAAAGGACTTACCAAAGAGTTGCTTATACAGGCATTCTTTCATTGTAGCATTCTTGCACCCGAATATGACACCACCAAGTTGATTCTTCCTCAAATTTCTGCCAAATACAGTACTATTTGGTAAACTTGAAGTGAAAGGTTGAGTCCCACTGGACTGAGAAGTTTCTGTTTTCTTCCATGCTCCTATCCTGGCATAAGATAGAATAAAGGTTATTTCATTTACAATCTAAGGCAAAATCAAGCACATGGAAATTCAATATTTTCTTCTTTTTCTTATTGAAAAGGATAGATTATTAATAACCTACATACATACACTTCACACAAATGTCATTGCAAAAGTTGAATGCAACACAGCATTCAACCTAACATCTGAACAAAATTAATAAGGACAAAACTTAAGTGCAATGGTACTGTTAGAGCTGTTTTGCAATCAAAATTGGCATTTTACTTCAATAATCTGTATAATAAAGGTCTGCATTAACGATCCGCACAAAAGTATTAAAATTGGACACACACATTACCAAAGTGAAACTCTAATTCTAATTGGAGAACAATACCGACGTGACGTTGGTATTGCATCTACGCTTCTTACAATTAATAACTGGGAGAACAAAAAATTTAGCTTAAACCGACAATGCTCAGAAAGGAAACATAGAAAGGGAGCTTTTCTCGCAGAACAGCAAAACGACACATGCTAAGAAACTTTACCAATGTATCAAAACATCACAATCGGCATTCACAGTGAAGTGTACGTTGGGACCAAAAATGAGAAAAATTGAAAGGATACATAAAAAACCCAGATAAAAATATTTAGAATTGCTGAAATGGGGTTTATCCCAATAACCCCAAAAACACTAAGACGACATAGAAAATTCAAAATCAAAGTAAAAACTTCACTGTGTTTATAATCGTGAACTGGGGGAGTGTCTGCAATTTAGATGCGTACATTATGTAGTATACCCAAAGCGAACGATGAACAGAAGAAGTTAGAGAGAAGCTGTGACGGAACAGAGAAAGAGTGAGGAAACTTCAAACTTTTGAAACGCAAAAAGTAAAGGCGCAGTTTTACCTTTTAGAATTGAATCATTTTCTTTCACACTTTCTTTGAATGCAAAAAATGAATATATATTATGTAGTATACAAAATTTGAATAATTTTTTTATTTAATTTATTATATTGTTATTTTTAACTATTTGTAATTTAAGCTCCTCATAAAATAAAATAATCTTTAATATAGAGTTATTATATTTTTTTTGGTTAAATATATGTCAAAAATAATCTCTCAGTTTAAAATAATAACCACTTTACAATTTTAATATAAAATTTATTTTTTAAAAATTTATTCTTAGATAATTATTAAGGAAAGAGAACTTAAGGTAAAAAATTTAAATGATAGATAAATTACACAAATTGTATAATAGAAAATTATGTATTACGTTTTTATAAAGATATATAACAAATATATTTTTTAATAAAACTCTACCATTATTAATTGCTTAAATTTGATTAACACTTTTCTTTTATAAAAAAGATTACTAAATATGTTTCTTAGTTCTTGTAAAATAACTTTAAAAAGACTATTATTTGAATTGAAGGAATGAAAATAGAAAAAAGATATAATATTTTGTTATCTTATTATAAATTAAATTACAAATACTGATTATAAATTTTAAAATATAAACAATTTTTGTATTATTTAATATTAATGTCCATTATTAGTTGACGATGAATTTGAAGCTTTTCTCTTTAAATTTTGGTTTTATACAAACTATTCTACGTTACTTTGGTGGAAAAAATTGCATATGCTAAGCTTTAGGAAACACACTTAACAATTGTGATTAAATTGTACCAATCCATTAGTAACCTTTTTGCTGTGTACGTCATTATTTTACTTTTAACATATTTAAATTCGTGTTCCATTCTGTAAATTTATATTTATTATAACATTATTAGTTATAATTTGTGTTAAATTTACATTTACAGTGTTTCAAACATATTTTAAAACACACAATACTAAATTGTGAGGTTTTTTTTTTAGATTTTTTTTTTAAAATGAGAGTTTAACGCTTTAAAGAATAAAATATAATAATAATTATTATTTATATAATTAATGTTAGGTTGATATGAGATCAAAGTTAAGGAATCTATTTAATTGATCCCGTTGAAAAATTAATGTTTAATTAATAATTTTGAGTTTGTATGGAATATTAAATATTTAGAAGAAGAAAAAATATCGCCTATAACAACTTTACTTAACTCAAATATAGTTATCAATTTTTTATTTTATTAGTATTTTGAGTTATTTGGAGTGGTGACTTAACCAATTTCTAATTCAATCAGTAAACTGAACCATTTTTATTTTAATAACTATCTAATCAAAAGCACTTAAAAGAAAGAAGAAGAAACCACTCTCTTTATCCTAATTGGCTAGGTGAATCTATCTTGTATTCAGATTAATAGAAAAATATAAAATTGAATAAAATATAAAATTAATTATCTTTGTTTAGATTGTAAGAATAAAATTAAATAAAATCTAATTAAATTTAGATTTATTCTATCATATTGTAGTTGTCGCAGATCTATAGTTTTTTCTTTTTCATCAATTTAGGTTATGATATAAAACTATTATAATAAAGTTATCACTCTTATCGTTTTATTTATTTATTTTTATAATGGAATAGAAGTTTTATTCTGTTTAATTATAAAATATTTAAATAGTTTTATGTTAATTTTGTTTTGTTTCATTTCATCCTTTTTTCCTTTTTTCTTTTACCCACCATCAAATATCTATAATCTTAAAGTTCTGTGAAACGTTTATAAAAATAAATATGCACGTAAATATTATATTTCCATTTTAAAAAACTGTTGTAAAATATGACATTGCTTAATTTAATTTTTGAATTATTTTATATTATTTTTTAAAATATATATTAAATTTTATATAATTTAAATATTTGTAAAATGTATTATTCATAATTTAATATTTATTTATATTTAAAAAATATATTATTTATAAAAAATAATATAATTAAATATTTAAGAATATTATTTTATAAAATTAATTTATTTAATAATTTTTTTAAATTAATAATCAAATAAATTAATTGTATATTTTATAAAAAATGATTAAACGTCGTAAGTTTCATAATATCTACTGTAAATATAAACTGCGCAAGCCACAATTTTCTAAATAAAATGAAGATCACGGGAAGATTAAAAGAAAGAGTATGAAATATAACTGCCAATTAATTTTTGATGGGACAGTGGTGCCAAGTAACGAGGATTATGCATAAGAAATGAAAAGATCGTTCACTGACTCTCTACATAACCACACTTTCCCTTCTGGTTTTTCTTTGCCTCATAATCTCAATGTTTACCCAATTCTTAATCACTCTCCTCATTGTATCTGTCACTGCAAAGAACACTGATGATATGGTGCGTCAATTGGATCCAAAACTGTTATCGGGTTTGGAAGAAAAGCTGAGCCATTTCAGATTCTATTGGCATGACACACTCAGTGGACACAACCCATCTTCTGTCACAGTTATTCCATCACCTTTGAAGTTGAACTCAACCACTGTCTTCGGTTTGGTCAACATTTTTGAGAACCCTTTGACTTTGGGACCCCATTTGAGCTCCAAATTGGTGGGGAAAGCACAAGGGTTCTATGCCTCTACATCGCAGAGTGAGGTGGACATGCTTGTGGCTATGAACTTTGCCTTCACAGAAGGGAAATATAATGGCAGTAGCATCACCATTTTGGGAAGGGACCCTATTTTCAATGAGGTGAGGGAGATGCCTGTGATTGGTGGCACTGGACTTTTTCGATTTGCTAGAGGTTATGCTCAACTTAGGACTCACTCGTTCTTAGCTGAGACCAAGGATGCTGTAGTTGAGTACAATGTTTATGTTTTGCATTATTGATGCTGTAATATATGTGGTAGACTCGGTTGGCTTTTATTTTTGTTATTTTAGTATCGGATAAAGGAAGAATAAGAAAAAACAAAAAAACAAAAGATATAAGAAGGAATAGTAGGTGATAAAAAAGGAGAAATAGAAATAATAAAATATAACTATATTGACATGTATATACACTTGTGTTTTGCGTAATTGATACATATTGATGGTATACTGTTTGTACTTACTCATTTAACTTTTACTTTTCCTATTTTAGTTTTCTCTTTTGAAACCAAAATATAGCATTTAGCCATTTACACGCTCATCATGTTCGGTTTTGTTATTTTTCTTTTTCTCTCGTGGAAGAAGAGATGGAGTTGGGTTTATTTTATTTTATTTTTCTCGTCCCTCCTCAGTCCAAGACCATTGTGTTTTACTCTCTCTTTTTAATATACATTTTTTTCTTCTTTTCATCCAATTATTTATCTTATTTTATATTTTTTTTGCTATAAAATATTTTATGGAAATAGTGTTATTTCAAAAACTAAAATTAAAGTGCATGTTTTATTCAACATATAACTACTGTACATATAAATAATAGGGTAGACAGAAAACGCTGGTCTTGGAACTTGGAAGAATCTTCAACAATTTGTCCGAGTAGGGGTCTCTTCAAAATGAAAAAGTATATATAAAGTTTGAACCTTCACTTCTAGCATTATGCGTCAAATGATGAGCACATAGGTGATATAAAGCATAACCAATAACAAGGAGACCTTCCAAGCACGATGAACACAAACCCTCAGCTGCATTCCGTTGTATGTAAAAGTGTTTGAATTGCTTCAAGTTTGTAAAATGGAAGAAATAGATCAAAGCTATATACTCGACTAAATTTTTTATTTCAAGTTACACTAGCGAAACCCAATTTAAGTTTATATTTGACTTTTTTATTTTTCATTTTTTAAAAGTGAAGAGGTACTTGAACTGTGGAGTGATTATGAAAAAAAAATTTGTGTTGTAAATAATTTTATGTAATGTTATTTTTAGATACTCTTTAGACAACTATCATGATTTTTTTTCTTCTATTTTAGACTTTGCATATTATTTTTTCAACAATAGTATAAGAGTCTTTCTTTAAATTGCAATATTAAAATTTTCAAGTGCTATAAAATTTAATATGTCAAATTCAAATTAAGGATTGCTATGTTGGCAATATTTCTCTTATTGTGAGAGGGGTAATAGTATATCTTCTTGGCATTGCGTTGCTATGAAGAATGATAAATTAATGCTAACGAATCTACAAATACACACAGAAATTGATTTACATTGATGTAAAATGTGTGATAATAGTACATAGAGATTGATGCAATGTGTGCGATATAAGATAGTACACAAACATTAGTTGATAATATGTGTAGTATAATATTATAGTGGAATATGATAATATTTTTTTTTAATTATAATTGTCAGTGTAGACAATAAAAGCAAAATATGTGCTTATTATAATAAATATGTAAATGATTAGAATTGGTTAAAATAAAATATCTTGAAACAACTTTTACATTGTTTCAGTTTCGCCTAAAATCTTTGTTTCAAACTATACTTAGTCGGAAGCACTTTAAAATTTTATTTGACTTTTTTTAATACTCTTATTTCATAGTGTAGTAAAAAATTTAAATATTTACTTTAGAAAATGAAGATGTACTAAGGTCATGGGCTGATTATAGAAAAATAATAATAATTATAATGTTATTTTTTGTTGTGTTTAAATAATGATTGTAATTTTTTTTCAGTTTTAATTTTTTTACATTAATTCATGTATTATAATTGTATTGTCTTATTATTATTTTTATTTTGGTATTACTTAAAATCTAGTTGTACACAGTCCTTTAATTAATATTTGATTATTTCTTTTTTTAATTTATATAATTTAGATAAGTTTCTAAACAACCATTTTAAAATTAAATCAGAAGTTTTTTTTTATAAAGAAAATAAGCATGTGTTAATTTTAATTTATTAAAATAATTTTATTTATTATTTTACTTAATTTTTAATTTTGATAAATACTTATTAAAAAAATTTGTTCACATTAAGTTATGATATTATGATCCTCAACAAGCTTTTGGCCCTTGTTGGCACTACCTATAGTTCTACAATTATATATAGTTGATCCATTCCAGTTGAATACCAGAGTTATAGGAGAATAATATCACACAATTAAAATAAAATTGAGTAAAGAAAGTAACTAATGAACAATATTTAATATGACAAACTCTGCATTGACATTACATGACTGAATACATATCATGTATCAGTTTATAGTAACAAATATCATTTATAAAAATAATAAAATGAATATATCAACATAAAACAGAACAATTTAATTATATTTAAATAAAACTTGTTTGACAACTACAAAGTGTGACTTTTCAAAGAAAAACGGTGACATTCTCGAGACCCCTTCAGCATTTAAGAGGAGTAGGCCTATATATCAAGAATATATATATATATATATATATGTTCAAGTTTAATGTTATTTTAGTTTCAAAATTATAAACAAATTTTTATTATAATGTAATTCTAACATTTTATTCTCTGTAAATAATATGACTAATCCATTAAGCTTATCTTGCTCAATAGTTTATATCAAAATAAGATTTAAGTATATCTTTTTTTTTAAACATTAACATTTTATTAATGATAAATTTAAAGTATAAGAAGTACTCCAAATCTTTCTAGTAAAATATTAAGGGTATGTTTGTTTTTCATTTTTAAAAGAATTTTAATTTTTTTTAAATATAATATAAATTTTATACTATATTTAAAAAATAATTGAAATTTTTTTGAAAAAAGAAATCAAATATATCTTTAGTAATTTTTTTAATATTAAAAATAACTATAAATATTGACGATATAATTTAACAAATGTTGCATATACTGGGAAAAAAGAAATTATATTAAATTTTTTTTTGGTTAGCCTTTTTTCAGTGCATTTCATTTTGGAAAAAAAAATCAAAATCATCGATATTCACTAAAAGTGACGTTTTCTTATTCGTTAATGTGTAACAGTTATTAAGGAGAGAAACTATATACTTAAGTTATTATATTCCATGCATGACTCAACACCTATATTTTTTTTTTTATAAGTAAAATATATTATTATAGAGAGTTTAAGGAGAACTCAAAACCTATATCCATATAGAAAAAAAATTAATACTTACTAAAAAAAAAAGAAGCAAAAACATAATTATACCTAACTAAGAAGGATACAATTTCGTGGATTCAAATACTAATCACTTAATAAAACAGTTTCTCCCTTACAAACAAGTGATAGTCATTTCCAGGACTTCAGTATAATAGAATTTAGGATTTTCCTCTTATCCAAAATACTATTGAAAAATACAATTCGATTTCTATATAACCACAAAGACCACATTGTACTTACTTAAATAATTAATAAACATATTCCTTCTCTTTTACTATAACCAACATTAACCTAAGAAAGCAAGTGAGTCAATAAATTTGAAGGCAAAACCAATGAGAATCTAAGCCAACGTGCAGTAAAATACCATATTTGGGATGAAACTGAGCACGTTAAAAATAAATGAGTTGGAAGTTCTTCAAAACCATGACAGAAGCAACAAGTTATATCATCAATTTAAACACCATGATCAATCAGCAAACCTTTACAAAGAATTGCATTCAACAACAATTGCCAATAAAATACCAGATACTTAAAGAGGAACCTTCCCTCTCCATAGCCTTGCAAGGCATCCGCAGTACACTGATTTACCATATTTGAACCACTAAAAAGTTCAAATAGTCATAAATACGCAGAATGTTCTGAATAACAATATGAAGAATCTGCCCTCCATACCCATTTATCTTCTTATAGTACTTTAATAGAAACTCCATCCACAAGCTCCAACATAAAATTAAAGCTTGAGATCTCATGTTGAAATAGTCCTCTTCGCCAACTAACATCCCAAACTCACCTAGTGCCATCATGAAAACCATTCTCCAATACACAAGATTTAACATTTTTTGTCACCGCAAGCAATCGCGGAAATGCCTCACACAATCGCACCCCACCTACCCACTTATCTTTAAAAAAAAGAGCGCGCAAACCTGCGCCCACATTTCTATCCAACTTCTCATCCAGCCATGAATTTTCTTGATGAATAACCTTCAACAAATCACGCCACCACAAAGAACATTTGTTGTGGATTGATGGACGATGAATAGAAAAAGCTAATCTGCCGTACCTAGCTTCCAACACCCAAACCCACAATGAACTAGAACAATTAACACTTCGCCACAACCATTTATCAAGAAACACCTAGTTAAACCACTGCACATTCCTAATGCCTAAGCCATCACTCTTTCGCAGTCTACAAACTATTTCCCATTTCACCCAAGAGATTTTAGATCCTTCTTTAACACCCTTCCATAAAAAATTCCATTAGATAGAGATAATCTCTTTTATCACTAACTTCGGCGCCTTAAAAAAAGATAATGAGTGCAATGACATAGAATTAAGAATGACATTGATCAAAGTCACCCTGACTCCAATCGATAAATACATATGCTTCTATGACGCCAACCTCTTTTTAAGAGCCTCTAACACACCCTTCCATGCACTAGATTTCCTCGGGTTAATACCCAATTGTAACCCAAGATATTTTAATGGGAAACTATCAATCTTACAATGTAGGAATTCCGCAGCCAAGTTTTCAAACTCATTGCCAGTGTTAATCCCCAATACACAACTTTTATGAAAGTTAATTTTCAGACCTGACATTAACTCAAAGCTACGCAATACTGCTTTCAAAGTCCACAAGTTCTGAACCGAAGTTTCTCCCATAATCAATATGTCATTCGCAAACTACAGCAAAGAAATATATGGTCGCCCTACCCCAATTGTCACACTAGAGAACAACCCACAAGCATTGCCTCCTGCATAAGAACTCTTAACCTTTCTGCTGTCACTAGAAAAAGAAAAGGGGCGAGAGGATCCTCTTGTTTTAGGT